TATGATGTCTTCAAAAAACAACAGAACATCCAAACTTACCTTTAAAAACCAAAAGGCAAAAGTCAGTTACCAGCAGACATCTCTTATTGAGCCTTGTACCCCTAAACTTGGTCTGCCAACTCACTAAGAAGGATAGTTTAAATATGGAAACTCATTACCTAAGAAGTCTGGCTGCTGCATGCTCAAGAACATTCTGGATTAACCTGATACCAATTCAGAAATATGTTTTACTACAACAAACTGGGGTCTTAAGAACACTGTGAAAGCCAATTTTTGAAAAACTTATGTACAACTAAGAACAATCTTGTTAGGAGACTGTCTGTTGCTCCAAGAGCCTGCAATTTCCATAAAGGTCCACAGAGTACATATTTTAGGCTTTGTGGGCCACATACGGTCTCTGTAGCATATTTGTTTTTCTCTTTTTAAAAGCACTTTTTAAAAACAAAAAAATTTTTCAGGTTGTACAAAAATAGGCCATGGGCTGGATTTGGCCATAGCTATAATTTGCCACTACTGCTTTAAAATAACTGAAGTAAAATGACCAAAGCTGCTGTTTTAATAACAGAATTTAACACTGTAGATACACTCTGACCCCTTTGCTGTTCGTTAAGAAAGATGAGAGTCAGGAAAATTACCTGCTTAATGTGGCAAAACTATATAATTCATGGCAGAGCTAGTTTTAGAACTTAGGTCTCTTGACCTGTATCAGTGTGATCTTTTCTTCTCAGGCAGTAAGATCTAAAGATACCAATAATATGATAACATAAAGACAATAAATAATTTTATCAGAAGCGACACTTACATAACGCCAAGAAAGCATGCTTTGAGGCCATAAGAACTAGCACTCTCCGGAGGATATCCTTATTAATAATGTAGTTCTTTATGTGGTAGGTATGGTGCTCTACACAAAATGTTAACAATTCCAATACAAGTGCCAATAGCTGGGCAGTTTGAAAATCATCTAAAAGAAACAAAACACAATTATATTTACTGTCTAACATTCTTTTCCTTCCAAATGTAAGAACTCAAATTCTAATCAAGTAAAATCCCTTCTTCTATTTACCCAAATACTTTAGTGAAGAGGAAATTAACATTTATTGAATGCCTACCATGTGCCAGGAACTGTGCTTTACTTTACTTTTCATTCATTCATTCATTTATTTAGACAGAGTCTCACTCTGTTGCCCAGGTTAGAGTGCAATGTTGTCATCATAGCTCACAGCAACTTCAAACTCCTGGGCTCAAGCAATCCTCCTGCCTCAGCCTCCCGAG